GAGTTTAAACATAAATATAAAGGTATGTGTCAATCAAGATATATGCAAGAACAGGCTTAATGATTAATTAGATGGAACATTGTGGGTGTGGTGTATGAATGTTAACACTGTAATAATTCTTTAGTATATTACTTGTGTGGTGTAGAAGATAATTATTTAAGAATGTAATTATGTACGAATGTTAACACTCTGTTATAATTCTTTAGTATGTTACTTGTGTGGTGTAGAAGAGAATTATTTATGTAGAGATACTGCTTGCAAACCAATGATGGTAAGATGATGTTATGGGGTAGGACTGGATAAGTCTGACTTCTTCCTACTCCATTCAAGCATATACTAGGTATAAGCAAATTGATATGGGATTAGCATTTGTTGGATATGTGTAAAATTATGTGTGTTGACATATCAACTGTCTTTACATGCTTGAAAGAATAAATCAAATCAAAATCAAATCAAAAGGTGCAGTTTGTAATGAGGTTCTACTCGTATTGTGATTGATATCTTTCAGACCCCTCCTTTGACCCATCCATCGCCCTAGCCAGCCTGGTCCAGCACATCCCCGTCCAGATGATCACAGTGCTTATTAAAAGTCTCACCACAGACCAGAATGTCAAAGATGCAAACATGACTAAAGCACTCTGCAGGTTATCTCACACAATGAGCCATTTGACCATGCCAGTTATTTGTAATGTGTACAAATTGATTTACATAGCCACATCTGTTTGTGCTCATGTTCCTGAATCTATAAAAATATAAGATTGCACAGAGTTTTTTTTTTAGATGCATGCTTATTATCTTTTTGCATTATCCTTACATGTATAACAATCTGTAGCTCTGTCTATTGTTAACATAAGCACATTTTGCAAATTATTCATGCTGACCACATCCTTATGTCTGTCTAGGATGATTGACTGGCTTTCTTGGCCTCTGGCTCAGCATGTGGACACCTGGGTCATCGCTCTACTGAAGGGACTTGCTGCAGTTCAGAAGTTTACTATCCTTATTGATGTCACGCTGCTCAAGATTGAACTGGTCTGTAGTGAAAAGTTTATTATTGACTAGTTTCCCACAATTCTTCTTAAAGATAATTTACATGACGTTGGCAAAAAGATTTACCTGAATTATGAAAGCATTTCCCCAGTTTAAATAAATGTCCATGACATAAAGATTTTTTTAATTTAACCTGTAGGTGTTCAGTCGTCTGTGGTACCCCATAGTGCGGCCAGGAGCATTAACTGTGCTCTCTCATATGCTGCTGAGCTTCCAGCACTCTCCAGAGGCCTTCCATTTGGTAAGCGATCTCCTATCTCCTCACAGCCCATTTCCCCTCTCACATGGCCACTGTATTGGCTTTCTCATTTTCTTCTCTTCTGGCTTAAATTAGTTCAAAGCCACATAGACTTTTTTTCGCAGAACCCCATGCTTGGCATTGCTCTCCCACTGATGATGTGTGAAACACTTAAATGTCAAGAAATGGCCTTTGAGTTGGCCAATTTCATTAGTACCTAAAAACATGAGTAGTCTCAAAAATACTCTGCAAATGAGGCTGAACACTCTGTGGGATTTCTTATATGCAACTGCCCTCTGTCTGACCATGCTGCAGATATGTATAATTAATATTAGCAAACCTTCCAGTGTTGCCAGCACCACAGTGTCTTTATCATTTTTCTCTTGCCTTCATCCCTCATTCGCTTAGGTTGTTCCACATGTGGTACATCTAGTCCAGTCATTAAGGCCAGATGGTCTCCCCACCAGTAGAACTTTCTTGCTGCAGTTCACTGAGCTCATACACTGCATGATGTACCAATACTCTGGCTTCCCTGACCTCTATGACCAGATATTAGAGTCCATCAAGGTAAGAGTGCAGAGAACTTCATGTTAGAAACATTCTTATCTATGTAGATATTTTAAAAAATGTGGATTTGTGTAATCAGAAGGGCCTTGGGATTTTTAACACTGAATCATTATATCATTAATCAATTCTATCGAAGTGTATCTGATAAATTATTTGAATTTGTGCTGCCAGGATCTCCCAAAACCCGCAGAAGAAAAGATAAAACTGGTGTTGAATCAAAGTGCCTGGACATCTCAGTCCAACTCATTTGTCTCTGGTGTACTGATGCAAGCTGGGAAGTCTGAGACAGGCAAGACAGGGCTGGTCAACCTGGGGAACACCTGCTATATGAACAGCATCATCCAGACCCTCTTTATGGCAACAGAGTGAGTCATTTTCACAGACATAAAATGCATAAGACCACATGTTCTTGATGCATTTTTTTCATGTTTTTAATGTTTTTATGAGACTTAAGTATTAAACGTGATCTGCCTTGTCAGTTTCAGGAGGCATGTTTTGTCATTACATCTAAATGGTTCCAACACACTAATGAAAAGGCTTCAGCTGCTTTTTGCTTTTCTTGCACACACTCAGGTTAGTGTTGTCCTGTGCAATGGATAAAACAGAATATAGCTACTGGTGGATTACAGCAGTGGATGCTAATGATAAGGAGGCTCTGTGTTTCTGTCCTACAGAGGGCAGCATATGCTCCCAGAAACTTCTTGGAAGCATCTCGGCCTCCCTGGTTCAATGCGGGCTCACAGCAGGACTGTTCTGAGTATCTCAGATTTCTTTTGGACAGGTACAGTAGCACTCAAAATAGATTAGATGAATCAGCTGTAATAGGACTGTGTTAAGTTAGTTAGTGTGTCAAACTGAAAAAAAATGCTTTTCTTGTATTGTTCACTGATGCCAAATGAATTGAAAATTATACGTCATTTTTGAGACAGTGAATGCATAATAGAAAATATGCTAATAAAGAAACTTTGCTATTAGGAACACAGTGCAAATAAAGCGTTGCGATTGTTGGGTGTGCCTGAATGGAGACTACATTGAAAAAGTATTTTCTTTAAAACTAAATATGAGAAAAATGGGTGGTATATTATCACATCAATGGTGTCAAAAATAATCAGAACACATGTATTTTATCTTAATGTTGACTGTCCCTGTGTTGTGATCTTAAGGTTACATGAAGAGGAGAAAACACTTCAGGTCCTGGAATCAGCTAAGCCAAAGGTTGCATCCCCTGTTGACACAAGAAGCAAAGGTCAAACAGGTCAGACTTCTCCAGCAGAGGGTGAAGAGTCATCTTTGACTCCTGCAGAAAGCAAACCTGGATATGATGGCAGGACTTTGATAGAAAGGATGTTTGGTGGGAAGCTGATCACAGGTATTCAATGTATGCAGTGCAACTCCCTCTCTGAGAAGGAGGAGCCTTTTACGGATCTTTCTTTGGCCTTTTGTCCTTTTTCCACCTCTCAGGATGGCCCTCAACCTGAGGGGCCCTCAGAGGAGCCTAAGGTTCTCTGTCAGGGATCTGTCAATGGTGGCAGTGAAATTCCTGAACCTGGCTCAGCCAAAGCCCTGGCTAACAGTGTCCATGTTGTGCCAGTGACAAATGAGCCTCCTCTCTCTGTGCCTGACCTGGTGAACTATTTTCTGGCTCCAGAGATCCTGGATGGAGACAATGCCTATTTCTGTGAGAAGTGTGGCTCCCTCCAGCGGGCAGAGAAGACCATGAAAGTGGTGTCAGCCCCCGAGTACTTGATCCTCACCCTGCTGCGATTCTCATATGATGCTAAATGCCATGTCCGGAGGAAGATTCTGGACAATGTCACCATCCCACCACTCATGAGATTTCCAGTCCATGCCCCTTCACCACCTACACAATGTTCCTCTTCTGCCTCTTCTCCTCTGCAAGTGGATTCCCCTGAGAGCAGTGAGAATCTGGCCAAGAAGCTCAAACCATCTCAAAAAGATGAGGAGGAAGAGGAGAAGGAGAGGATAGATGGAACAGAGCAGATTACAAGAGGAGGAGAAATAGCGGTCCAGTCAGTGCCCTACATCCTAAGCTCGGTGGTGATGCATTCTGGTATATCATCTGAGAGTGGCCACTACTACTCTTATGGTTGTAACATCAATGGAGCAGATGGAACACAGCATCAAGCCAGTCACTTCGCCCTCAAGGATGTGGGGAGTGGCCAAGCAGAGTGCAACCTCTCCACTTGTTCAGCTCTCTCACTCGAACCTGAACAAGGAGACACACCCCCTAATAGCAGCCAGGAGGCAAGGGATTGGCTGCTGTTTAATGATAGCAGAGTGACTTTCACTTCCTTCCAATCAGTGCAAAATATTACTAATCGCTTCCCCAAGGACACAGCTTATGTTCTTATGTACAGGAAACAGGAGCTACTTGGGCAGAACTCAAATGGGGGACTGATGGCAAATGGAATGAGACTGTGTGCTGAGCCTCCCCTGCATAAAGAACTCCTGGATGCTATCATCAAGGACAACAAGCTGTTTTTACAAGTAAGCAGGATTAAAAACAAAAGAAAGCATTCTTCTTACACATATAAGCACCGTGGCAGCCATTAAATGCAAACCAAAAGTGAAGTGATTTACATTAGATTAAGATTAAAGTATTTAATGTGCTTCGTTAGGTGTCTTGACTGAAATAGCGTGCTTATTTTCCATGTTTGAAAACAGGTGACATATAATATTGGTTCCACTAACTCTTCTAAATGTAAGGTTATTGTTAAAGTTGGGTACTGGACCAGATTTTCTCAAGTGGAAAGTGGATGAGGGAAAATAGACCATACTTTCACAGATAACCAAGAGCCTGCAGGGTATAGGATTTTGTTCTGACTGCACTTCAAGCCAAATCTAAACTGTCTTGTTATGAGACGTGAGGTGTAATTTCACAAGTCATTGAGCTGTGCTGTGTTGAATTGACATTCCACCATACTTGTGTAGGTGAATGGAGTAAATCACCTCTAGAGGGTGTAGTAACAGCACTAATGCCCTGTCGGTAAACTCCACTACTAAATTAACTCTTTGGCTCAGCGTTATTTGGATACTGTATACGTTTTTACACCTGGTTTAAAAGCAGTCTGATGTGTAAACATCTCTGTTTCTTCCATAATGTCAATAGGAACAGGAGCTCAATGCTCGAACCCAGGCTCTCCAGGCCCCCTCATCGTCTTGCTCATTCAGGCCCAATGGTTCAGATGACAATAACCCACCAGGGAGCTGTGGTCCATCTGGTGGAGGAGGAGGGGGAGGTGGCTTCAATACCATTAGTAGACTGGTATTCTGACAGGGAAAAAATGCTGCAGGAAAACCAGATGAACTGGCACTAAGGAAGTCCTCAACTGCTTCATGAATGAGCCTGAACTGTCAAACCACAGATGTGCATATAACCTCGTAAAAACATTGAAACAATCTAAGAACACGCACATAGAGCACCTGTGCTTGTTCTGATAATAGATTTGATTTTGTCAAATACATTGGTTCACTCATCATTTAATATTTCATTTATTAGATTATTTCTAAGATCTTGACATTGTAATCATCCATTAACCCTCTAGATTTCAAAACCTGAGGTGCAAATATTCATTGGTGCAAATGTATTCTCTCCCTTAAATAAAATAATTATAGCTAAATATAATTTGATATTATAGAAGTTACATCAATAACCATTAGTTTCCTAGTAAGTGTTTACATTTTGTTACATTTTACATTGATAAAAATGTGAAACCGGTTGATTCTAGCACGTTATTGCTATTTGATTTGTCGGAGCGTTTATATTACCTCACACAGAAACACACACACAAACGTATGCATGTGCAGTGCACAATAGACAAGAAAGCATTCAGATATAAGAAACTTTTGATTTAGATTTTTCCTAGTTCTGAACACAGTTCACAAACCTTGTTCATTTTTTTGATTTGCATGCAGCTTTTCTTCACAACGTGTGGAGTTTTTCAAGATATTTGAATCTTTTTGGTCTGTGCTGTGGTGTTCTTTAGGTTTCATATCCCATGCAATAAGTGTACATAATGTATTATTTAAATATCATCTCCAAATATTCTATTTGAATAATCATGGAATACGAAATGTATATGAAAGCTGAAAACTATATATGGGCATCCTCCAAGATAAAGGCATTTCAGAATGATTATTTAAGCTGTTGTTTCATGGTAAGTCAGTGTGGTGTACAGAGAACTAAACTGCAAACTACTCATGTAAACATATTGATAATAAGTAACTATTTGATGGCATATTTAAAATGTATTTCTCTGATTTGAGCATTCAGGGAGATTATGTTCATGCCAATTTTATGTGCCTTTTGATATTTCATGCAGATTTTTGAAGAGGAATTTGTATTTTACACCTCAGCTGTACTGTCTTAATATTCATAAAGGAGTCTTAACCATGCTGGTTGTTAAAGTAGCATGTTGGCAAAGAGGTGGGCAGACTGGCCAGATGTTGGGGACTAAAATAGAAATCAAATATTAAACATACCGTATGACAGGACAAACAAAGAAAAAAGAGAAATGTGGGCTAAAATAAATTAACACTTGACTGAACAAGTAGCAAGATGAAACAGCAGATGGTTTCAGGAAACCTTAAATTAATTTCTGTGGAAATGAGCCAAGCACTAAAGTTACGAGTGTGCTGTGTGCTCAAGCGTAACTCATTGTCTGTATCACCTTTCTTGTCACCTTGCATATTTCAGAATTTGCAGAGAAGATATTGATCACTTGGAATCATCTCTAGGACTACATCTTTGTATTATTTTGGTTTGAATAGATCTGACTATGTTATTTCAATTTTTATGGGAACTAGATCTAAGAGTAGCAAGGTGGTTTTGAAACTGCAAATAATCCTTTTTTAAAATTACATTATTCAAAATGGAAATGGTTAAATGTTAAATTTAACACATTCTTGATGCTGTAGATCTCATGAATTCCACTCAAAAACCTGCAGATTTTTAGTATGAAAGTGACTTTGTTGATTAAAGGAACTGTATATGGTTGCATAATTTATCAAAACAAGTATGCACATCCTCCCATGCACATGCTTTGATTGCAAAATATTTATGCACAAATGGAAGTGAGTATAGACAAAACAATGACAGAAAAAGGAACATGGGGAATCACATGCATTGACTTTCTATTCCCATGGGTACTGGAGAAATTACAGTTGGAGCAATAGCAAACTATTTTTAAAGGTGCCATTTTTATTAATTTGCAATTGATATGGCTAAAACAGCAACAGTGCTAAAGCATTCAGAGGGCATTTTGAAAAATCAATAACTTTCAATTATTAATCAACCAAACCATTACTGGGTTTGCCTCATTTGTTTTCTTTTGGGAATAGTACTGTATGTTATGTATTCTTTTGCAATTAAATGATGATATGGAGTGTTTTATATAATCTACAGTCACTTTATGTTTTTATTCCTGCACACATGGCCTGCAATATGTATACTAACTCATTTTGGGATGTACCACATATACAGCAAATAATATATACATTATAGGTATGAGAACTGTTAGGTTATGCATTGAAAGTCAGATCTCTTCAGTTGAACACATGGATGTTGTAGTACTTACATAAACTAAATATGTAGTTATTCAACCATAAAGCAGAGGAACACAAACTGAGGTGCAACTTTGTTAAACATGGATTTCAAAAAATCAGATGCGTCAAAAACATGGCAGAAGCTTTTTTTGAAAATTTTATAGACTGTAGAGTCAAATATGAGATTGTGGAAAAGAAATCATTAATGGAATTGGTTTATTGTGTCTGCAGCCTTTAACCGCTTCCTATTTCTTCATCAATATCGCAGGAAGTCATTGAAAGAGGTAATGTGCCTGTACAATTGCAGTCATTAATCACAGACTAATAGAGTAACGTTCTTTGGGGGAGGGGTTTACCCTTCCAATAGCATTCCAAAAAGATTCCTCAGATGCCATTCTATGTCCATGGGAAACCTTTGCCAGTGGATGAACCAGTTAGATGAACTGTTGAACCCAGGAAATATCAGGTTTGGGGAGTCAGGTAAATGTCGGGCTCATAGGGTGGGGTTTGGGCAGTAGGGGTAAATCTTTGATTTGTTACATATTGGAATACAGTTCGATTGAAAACAATATTGTGAAATCAGTTATATAAAAAATAAGCTATTTGATATTGTGAACATACTTTATGTATAGGCTATCCGTGTATAACAATAATTGCATATTGAAACAAGATAAATGCCAAAAACTACATATATGAAGAGGTCGATGAGTACACTATCCTCATAGTGACATTACGTGTGCTTTATGGCGAGTTTTCATTAGGGAGTACAGCACGCATTATGGATGGTGTAGTTTAGACGTGTTGGGACCATCCGGTTCGAGGTGGGTCCTCTCTTTGTCTCTTCCTCAACTGTCTGGGGACATTCTTTGTATTCACACAACTGAGCAATCAACTCCATTGCGTCATGGTTCATCTATCAAACCGCCCCACACTCATGTTGTTTTCTGGCACGGAATACAAACGATCTTTGAACTACATGTCCCATGGTTTAAGCTCTTCAGTTTTCCCTGCACGCCGCCTCCTCAGTTCGTCCGCCAAACTAGTAGTTGAGTGATTCCATTTACAGCGATACGATTTCCTGCTATAACTTTCAAAACAAATTTCACAGTCACGAACATTGTATTGAAGGAACACGTTGAAAAAATGTAATGTGTCTCATAAGCATGAACATTACCTATATAAAAATATGTAATTCACGAATTAAAATGAAACTGTTTATGTAAAAATATCGCAATTAGCGTATCTAGCCATAATCTGAAAGGTTAAAAAAATGAGCATGTGTAGCTAAGACTACCAATATTAATCACTGACGACTGAAATGACAAATTTACGCACAACTTAACTTTAAACGTCCGTTGTAGCCATTAAAAGTGGTCTGAATGGAAGAACGTTCTGCACAAGCAAAACAGTTTATTTTGAAAGCATACCAGAACTTCCGGTACTGTAATAATTTGCCTTGACACCGCCATGTTCCAGAGAGGAGGGTGAGTTTGGGGAAATACGGAGCCACCCTGTCAATCTCAATTAAGGAACCATGGGAGTAAACTGGTAGGGAAGCTCGGCGGAGCCACAGTGTTTACGGTGAAGATTGTTTTAACTTTGCGGAGAGACGGCAACTAACGTTATGCACCGGTATACTGTGAGACATTTACATCTGATCTTGCCAATTGGGAATCGCTCCACTTTGACGGGAATTAGCATGAGGCGTTACATATAACAACAAAAACTTAGCGACTCTCAGTTGCCTGCGCCTGTTTTTTTTTTTTGCCCACACAGCGTTCCAGTTTGAACACAATACACAAGTCACCGTTGATATTTGTACTAAAGGCGGTGTCGCGGAGGTTTATATCTACTCTAAGCTCAGGATTATAGCCGTTTATTTGACTACAACTCGCGGAAAATCTCGTCTGTGCATTTCAGAGAACTGCCTTTTCGGTAGGTCGAGTTTCGAAGGAGTGACGGTATTTATCGCTCTCAAAAACAACAGTACTACAGTGTTAACTTTTTTTTATATTTCACCTTCACCGTCTAAGCTTTGTGGCAACTTTTTTCTTCCAGGTATAAGCAGACACTCCCAAAAATAAACGAAGCCAAACAGCAATCTCCGCTCCAACTCCAAAGGAGAGCAAGGAAGGAGCAGATATGAGTGGGGGAGATGTGGTGTGCTCAGGGTGGCTGAGAAAGTCTCCTCCTGAAAAAAAGTTGAGACGTTACGTAAGTGCACTTTATATCCTACTTGTTACGCTGTAATAAAGCAACCTGTTACACAAAACATGCCAGTTTCTCCCTGGACATTTTCATGTGCATAGCTGGTCGCAGTGACGTGAGAGGTGTGGGCCTCCTCTTATGTGCATTTCAGCAAGTAACCTTTGCAGTTTTTTTGTTGCTGCATGAACCCGTGTGTGTTTTCTCTTGGCTCACTTTACCCTGTAGCCCCTCACAGTAAACAAGAGCGACTTTACCATGGGATAGTATGTATTGTGTTGCTTAAATGCATTTAACTGAGGAGTATGGCGGTCGTTTTGGCCAAACCTTAGACGTTTCCATGATGGGTCAACTTCTTTAATGGCTTGTTTATGCTACTAGCCTCACAGCATTACCTCTGAAGATGTCATTTTCTTGGACCTATAACACAACACACTGATTACATTGGGAACTAATACTTTTACATTCACAGTCAGTTCTCCCTGTATCAAAGTTGGTAAGATGGTCATGCCAAGGGTTAAATGATTTATAATGCAACAGCGGAATATGTGTAAGGATGAGCCCATTGCTGTAAGTTTCATACATTGGTTTGCAGAGAGTTGAAGATGTGCACAATGAAGGATTGTTTGTCACAGCTACTATAACAATTGGTGTTTACTGCCCCAGACTGTCTGATCATTCGTCCATGTCCACACTCCTGCTGCTCACACTAGTCACACAGTATTACATGCTTTTAAGTATATAATTGCTGAGGGCAGTACATGTCTCTTATTCTGCTATTAATGTTTCACGCTAATATGTCACTGTTTTGTGTACTTATGTCTGCTTATTTGTCATGCACCTTGGGAAAAAGCATGTGCTTGCATGCTTTCCTTGTGGATCAGTGGCTATCCCCATTAGTGACGAATTGAAATACAATATCTGCAACATGAGAAGAAGTATGTTTTCAGAGGAACCACAGGGTGACTGAAATGTTTATTCTGAATGCAATACCACTGAATTCTAGCCACAAAGATAAGGTTTTTAAAGAGTTGTCTCACATTCATGACAGAGTAGATGATTTGATGAGGAGGAAGTCAAAATCCTAGTTCATTACCAGATTGTGAAAAGTTGTCATGTGCCTTTTATGAGTAGTAATCACTTATGAATTCACAACACTAATTGGGTGTTTGCACATACGGAGACGAAGTAGCTGGGCACCACTGGGCTTTGGTGATGCTGTTGTTCTCGGGCTGTGTTGTGTTAATGCAATTAATTTACATGCTGTGCTATGACTGGACAAGTGTCTTCTGATGTATATGCAGCACTATGTAGTGCTATGTACGTACTTTTACTACAGCTTAACGAGTTTATCTTGAGTCTTACTAGACCCTCTAGTGATTGAAAAGGAATTCAGGAGCGTGCCTTTAAGTTTTCCTTAGTATAGTTTTATATGTCAAAATGATAAGGTTAGGATTTTGACATATCTAAACTTTATTATAAACATGAAAATATTTTTTTGTCTTCTTTCCTTGCCTTTTCAGTTACTCAAACAGTTGTATAGTTAGACTCTTCAGTATCTGAGGGTGTATGCATATCAAGTTGGGTGTAAATGTGTGTTGTGTTCAGTGGCAATCAGTTGATGGAGTGTTTTGGCAAAATTAAGATGGTTTATAATTACCAGTTGGAATATCAACCTTGTGTTTCTGTCATTTGCTGCTTCTGTTGTGTCAGTGTTGTACAGAGTAGCTCTAAGTGGCTCTCAGTAATGTCCGATGGCACCATGAGCACCGCAGGATAGAAAGCAGGATAGAAAACTAGAGTAGGTTTGTCTTTCTCAGAGAAGAGAAGGCGGTAGTGGCAAGGACATCACCATCTGAGTGGGTTTTAGATGTATGGAGCATAAGTGAAAACTCAAAACATTTAACTGTTATACGTCAGTATCATGATAATACTGTGGTAATTATCGTGGTATTTTGTACATACTGTCTGTTGCTACTTAAAAGAGAAATGAGAGCAGTTTTTTTTCACAGATTTTGCTTCATTTCAGCTTTCACTTAAAACCACAGGCTGCACCTGGTTCGTTACAGATACAAACATTCACATTACTAGATATTATTATTTCTTATTATTATTTCTTTTAATCCTAGAGAGTACCTTATGTAAATATGTCATCTGTAGTTACATCACTAAGTGATATACACACGTTTGCTTATGTGGTTAAGATAAAAGTTAGCTACATTATATTTTCTTCAGCCCGCCAGATCTGTTTCTCATGATAATCAAGAAAAATTATATAGTTACAAGAAAATCTTCTACATATTACTGCATTTGTTTGGAAGAAGTGGAGCACTAGGTGTTGTAGTGCATTTAATAATAGACAAAATACAAAAGTGTGAACCCGCCACCACAGTCAGCTCACCATTTTAGTCTCCAAACTGTGGAGCAGTAGACTAGAAGCCTGAGCCCCTGCCTACCTGATTAACCACTCAGGGCAAAGTTTGTCCTGAATGCTGAATGGTGGAGCTCAAAGGTTATAGCAGTTCAGCAGACCCGCCTGCATCCGAGCAGCCCCGTCCATCACTGGCATGACACACTTTGTAATGTTGCCTCTGTGAACATATTGTGAAGAGGCGTTACTCATAATTTACCAAATTGTGGTTGCTTTCAGCTGATGTTTGTTTAAATACAAACAGGATCCATGTGCTCTGGTTTTCCTTCTTCTGTCTCTTCTGAGTGACAGATTGAAATGCTTGGCTTTTCCTTTGCCTCTTAAACAACCGAAGCCATGAAGGTATCTAAGACTAATTGCTTTGTTAGGACTTTTCCCAGCCAGAGTTTGTCATAACAGTATGCTCTGTGGTTTTCCATTTCATTGACACTGCATTTTCTGTTTCTCCTTTTCCTCTTGCATTTCTTTTACCTCTCAATCTGAATCAGAATTTCTGCAAATGATTCTTAAAGGCACAGCTCTGCAGTGTATCATCACAGGGACCAGATGAGATGTAGGGATGAAGTTGCAAGGTAATTTTCAGCACCATCCTGTTAAGAGACAGTGTGCATGTTACAATATATCATCACATCATGACATGATTTAAAGGAGAGATAATGTGACTCAGAAGAAAACCGAGACAGGATCACAGCAGTACCTCTGTTGTGGACAACAGCAATTTTACGCCTTTCTAAAAGATGCCACTGCTTTATGTATTTCAGGAATATGAACCACAGATTTAGCAATAGAGATGTTAGGGGCGGCCCACCAACCCGAGTTTGTTTGAATGATGGGTGCCCCAGCAATTTTCAAGAGCTGTTGCTTGAATACTGCAATACCAGTTTGTTACAGTCACATGCTCCCATTTTGTCTCAGGTGTATTTTCAATTTTAATTCACTGCAAAGGAGCATGTAACACTGAGGGATAGTGCTCATATTTGAATAGCTGGGTGTCTTTCAGTTGATCATACAATGTCAAGATGCCCTGTTTTACAAAATCACTGCTGTAGTAAATATGTAGAAATGCAGTGATACTGATTTTTTTATTTATTTATTTTTTTTTGGTATTATATCACAGTACTTTATCACACTGCACATAGCTATATAGACCTTTAGACTCCCTGTAGTCCATTGGCATGTACCCACTGGAAACAGATTAGGATTTTGTTGTACACTTTGTTCAGCCCTTAATAGGGCCTCAGTGGTAAAACACAAGGCCGCAGAGTGGACCGGATGAAGGAAAATATTGAACCCTGAAGGTCCTCGTCTGATGACTGTAAAGGGAGACTGAGGATATTGGCTACTCCATGCTGGTCCTGAGTCCTCTCAGCTGTGAGAAAACGCATTGCCATTATACACCACAATGACCATTAGCGATTTCTTCTCTTTGTGGCTGATTGAAAAGAGTTGTCATTTGCAAATTGCTGAAGAGGAATACTGTATGCAACAAATGTGACAGCACGGTCAAATGAAAACAACATAGCTCTCTGATTAAGCAGAGAATTCATTAAATCTGCTTAGCAAGTGGAACAGAGAACAAACACTCACTTCTGCTAAACCTCCCTCTCCCCACAAGCTTGATGAAACAAACAGGCAAACCGACAGGGGTGCAACAGAGGGGTACTTGTGCAGCATTAGCCTCCTTAGGCTAACAAAGAAAAATTATTGGACCATGTCCTGGGCACCACAGCACTCTGGTTGGAACGAGCAGACTGCTGTTGTGTGATCTGCTACAGCTTGAAAATGGATTGCATGTGCCATTAATTATTTAATGTCCATTACAAACAAATCACCATAAAAAATTTATATCTTTGCTACTACAATAGTTACTGGTCCACTTTTGTCCCAGACTCAAACTCATCATTGCGTTATACATAGATGTATCAGTTTCACTGTAGCCAAACTGTTACCTGCCCTGGTGGCAGAGTTTAACTATAAGGATGCAACAAATGTATAGTAAAAAATCAACAGGTTCCATGACATTTACAACTTCTTGATCCACAAAATGATAATTGCATCGTCAGTGTTGGCTGCGAGATCGAAAAATGCTGAAGAAGATGAAATCTTTGGTGACTTGAACTGAGGTTTTGGTCTTTGTTTCAAAACACAATAGAAGTAAACATGATTGTGATTGGTCTCTTTGTTTTCTTCTGGATATTTATAGAGTGCAGTAAGCCTGAAATCATATCATTGCATCACAAAGAACAACAACAACAACCATTCCTGTCTGAACTGTGGCATGTTATGGCACATGGTAAAAAAACACTTGCACAAATAGAATTATGTTTGAAATGTGTAATAAACATCAGACCTAGCCCTATTTTACACACAGTACAATCTGCTATACTTTGCATGGTTTGCTTTTGTGGGCATATCAGCCGCTGTATACGTATAATTCTCTTTTTTACTTAGACAGTCATAAATAGTATCTGGTAGGATCTGGATGTCTCCGTCAGAACAATACAGATGGTTTGGAAGCCACAAAAATCATTTTAGGCTAACCTCAACTTAGGTTTTAACTTTCACTCACTTGTACTGT